TTTTGAAAAAAAATTGTTTTTACCGGTCGATTACTATGATCCGCATTTATACCCGCGTGACGGAACGGGGCTGGTGTAACTTTACACTGACCGTACTTGCGCCGTCAAATAAAACGGCTCGAGCCGCCTCTGGTCTGTCGACACGACATCGCGACAGGGCTCTGCCTGCGGGGAGATGCGAGAGTTACCCGCGAACATTTTTAAAGTTATCCGTAACTTAACGGTTTTTTTTTTAGGGACGGGTGAGTGAGTTGACTCTAAATAACCGTCTCTTTTATAGGTGAACTGAATCAGCGCGATACAGTTCAGTGACTCGATGACCGGGCGTGTTACCGCGACTGGTTATTAAATACAATTCACGAATCACGGACGTGTGTTGTCGCTTATTTTATGAGTTCCCGAAGTATCGGCGATACACGGATTTAGATTTAGATTAGTAAAATTGTCATCTAAGATCGCGGTTGTTTTAACTGGCGAGTGTACCTATATAATGCGTATACTAGTAAGCCCGGCAACTCGGTAATTCAACGATGCGTATCGATTATAATTTACGAGAATCGTTTGATTTAACGAATTGGGAACTCAGTGCCGAGTCGACTTGACGAGGCGCACCGAGTCGAACGACATCAAGTTGAAAATTTCGACCCCGTAGCCGGGCGCAGAGCCCCACGCTTTTAGAGGCCCCACACCTATTCGTTATCATAACTAGATAGTGATTTCACATGATTATTTAGGGAAATACAAATAACTAGGAATAATTGTATTGTGAAGGTTTATCTACGTTTGGTATGAGAAGATGATAAAAAAAACCTTACCGAAGCCCCGCAAAAGTGACTGTCTCGGTAATTTCCAAGCTAGCTCGTCCGTTATATTTTTACACGATAAACGGTTATTCGCCAGTGGGCAGAATTTCACCGCGGTTCGCGATAATGTTGTGGTATGAAGAGGCTATTGTAACATCAACCCGCACCGCCGAAAGATGAACACGACTGCGGGGACGATAACAACAATAATAATATTGCTATCGAAAAAACCACCCGGAGACAAATTTGGAGAGTGTTCTACTGTTGTGCAGGTATTATTGCAATGTGTACGACCTAACCTATATAAATTATATTTGTATAAATAATAATATCGAGTAATGAATGCGCAGAGGTGTACGGTATATACGCACCGTGACGGTTCATCGGACACGCCCGCGTGTGGGACGCTCGGGTACTGTTGCAGATATATTACAATGTAATACTGTATACGCGCGCATAATATTTTATATAAGGGATAAAGGGGGGGGGGGAAAGGAGAAGAAAAAAAAAAAAAACACGAATAAAATAAAATAACCTTTAGAGCCCACCCGGTGGGAATATCGGTCGAGAAAATATCACTTTTCAAAATGTCGTATATAGAGGTACCTACGAAATAATAATAACAATATTATATTATATAGTGCCACCGCCGACGCCGCCACCGATGCTCTTTTTTTTTTTTTCCCCCGATTCAATTTTTTTTTTCTCTCCCGTTTCTAGATTTCCAAGCGCATCGAAGAATGCGTATCGGTTTTACCGTATTGTATGACGTGTGCGATATTTTTTTTTTTTTTTTGTTCCTTTCGTTTTTCGCGTCTGCGCGTATACAAACGACTTTTATCCGTCCTAAACCGCGCTCCGATACGACGAAAGAGTGCGTTTTTTTTTTTTAATTTGTGTTTTATTCGTAGCGTTTCGGATCTAGTCGGTGGCATCGGGGAGGTCGTTTTTTTTCAAATTTCCCTCGTAGTTTTTTTTTTTTTTTTAATACTTGGGAAACGGCAATAACGGTTCGATAAGTTTCGATCGGAGGAGAGAAGGGGTTTGTAATCCGGTTGAAAACAATCGGAGAGACTTGAAAATGTTCGCACAAATACTCTTGTTCCTTAACTAGACGTGGTATAAAACGCTCGAAACGTTCTCATTTGATATTTTCACGGTTTTTTTTCTATATAGTTTTCGTTTGTTTTTACGCGTATCGAATTATCGTTTCGGGCCAACAGAAATATACTTGACAATTTAAAACGGGGTTCGTTATTATAAGTTGTACCTTAATGCGTACATAAATGGTAAATAAAAAAAAAAAAAAAATACATTAATCGAGCGTAATACAGTGGTTTTATAAACGTTTATAGTTTAAATTCGTGTCCGTCCCTCTTTCTCTCTTACTCCTATTTCGGAATATATTATTCTCCTGGGGCTATGGGCAACGAAAGTGAATCGTCCCGTCACTTATATTATATAGGAGGCGCAAATCGTGAGTATCGCGTGCGCACTTGTAAGACGCGCGTGCATGATTATTATTAAACATTATATTATTATTATCGATATTTTTTTTTTTAACCCGAAAATTTCACGCGATCGTCTGCCGAGGACCCGACACCGTTCGTCTGTCACGCCAATGCGTAATCACTATCTCCTCTGTGTATCCCGCATAACCTACGCGTATACTTAAAATACGCCCGAACCTATTAGACCGCGATCGCGAGCCGAATAATATTCAATAACTATAATATTATTATACACGACGTGGCGTTAATCAAATTGATTTTTACCCGCATGCGATACTACATATAATCCGCCGCGATATAATATACCTACGAGAGGTACTATCGCGTTTTACCGGGAAAAAAAAAAAAAAATAATAATAATAATAAAAAAACACGAAAAATTATACACGTAAAAAAACAATTTGTATTTTTTTCCCCACCTCCTCCCCGTCGAATCTCGCGCCGGTCGCGCAAGGTGCCACTTTGTTTTTAAACAGACCGAATTACGTCGCTCGCTAGGCGTTTGATCCGCACAATCGGCCTTATACACCGTTTTTTTACACATATTATTCTTCACCGTGTATGCAGGTATATTGTATCGCCTCTATATACGCATTTATTGCCTGCGTATAGTCTCTCGCTGCCGCGGCCAAGTGCACTCGACGACGGCGTAAACTATGCTATATATACTGCACGTGCAACGCGCCAAGCCGCACGAATATGCCATACCTATATAATATTGTATTATTGTTGAATGTTATTATTTTTTTTTTTTTTCTAATATCGATTCTCGCCGAACGTAAAAAAAATAATCATAAGGCAAACGCCACGGGGCCGCTACAGTGGCCTAGACCGGTGCCACTTTCGGTTCGGCCCTTTAAGGGTTTTTCGGACAAAATTTTACGACGGCCGTTAGAAGTTTTAAACACGCCACTGCAGGACGACAATGTCGATTTGGCCGCTGTCGCGTTGTTTATATACATATAGAGGTGGATGCGGACGTGAAGACGTAAGGTAATTAATACGGGGGTAATTTGGTTTGCGGTGTACCGTGATAATTCGTCGCGCTCGGAAAAAAACGATTCTGAACCGGAGTATCAATAGTATGTATCGGCCGTGTTTTCCGCTCCGGGTTACCGGGGTAACTCCGCCGCAGAAATCGACGAAAATCAAATAACGCTTAAAAAAAAATAATAATAATAAAAAATGACGTATATAGCAGTGAGAACTGCTGCAAATTTCGATAAATATTTACGTGTCACGCGAATCGTTACCGATCAGAAATTCCGCGTCGTTTGAGAATATATACCGCGTGTAAAAAAAAAAATCGTTTTTACTATATCCACTGACTAGTGACCAAGCGTGTTACCCGAGAAAAAACACGTCATCTATCTATCTACTCGTACGTTAAAAACATAAATCTGTCGTATTATAACCGTTTATATGGTGTTTTTTTTTTTTCAAAAATGGTTTTTTCGACTGCGTAATATGTATGTTACCGTGATGGACAGTTATTCTATCTCTATACCAATGGTGTGTAAAGCTCTATTATTAACGTTTGAAAGCGCAATAATCTCAGGTCCGATTTCAAAAAAAACTATAAATTGAGTTAGATGAGGAGGAATAATAGGTTATAGCTGGATATTTTTAATCGCGAAATTTCGTTTTCGATGATGAAAACCCAATTATTTTCGTTGATTTATGGGCATTATTATACTTCGACGGCACGGGCGAAAAAGAAAACCAATTATTATTGGTTCTGTATTGGTTATCACGCGCAAAATTTCGTATTAAATTACCCGACAACGACGATGAACTGTGACGGATACGGGACGGAAACGGGCAGTTCGGGGGGCAAACGCGGGGACAGGACAAGTTTTTATGTTTTCCTTAATTCGATACCGCAGTGTACGGTCGTCAATAACGTGCGGGCTATTAAACGCGCGTAGCCCGAACCGATCCGAGTCTAGAAACTTGAAATGTCACACACTAGTTCCGCGAGAGGCGAAGACGGTAACCGGCGCGCAAAAGGATTCGCGGACAATTCGAATGAAGACGGGAATCATACGCGCTTTCCCACATGTACGCGCAACAACGGTCGGCGGTAGGAACGGGGTGGGAGGGTTGGCCAACAGCAGAGTCACCGGGAAACACGTATTTTTTTATTTGTTTACATTTGTTGTTGTTTTTTTTTTTTTTTTTATTTTCGTTCGATATGCCGACACGGGCAAAACCGTCTACGCGCGCAATAATAAGCCGCGGGCGAGTTTGTACGTTTCGAAGGCGCCGAACTCGGGGACTGTGCCGCGCGAGTCCGTTTCGACGGTCATGTTGGTTGGCCCGTTTATCGGTTCCTGGGCGGGTTTCCGTCGGGGAAATCAGCCGCCGGGCGGCCGTTACAGGGCGAACGAAACCGCGTTGTTTTTGTCGCGTACGGGCCGAGGAAAAACCGGGCGGAGAAGCCGTGCGCCACCCGGCCGCCGTCGTATAACCGCGGCGATACGCCGACCGTCGCGTCGCGCGCGGTCGCCCGTGCGATATTATCGCCGTTATCAATATTAATATACACATACGTAATAATATTGCCCGGTTACAAACCGAGAGAAAAACACGGGTTTATAACACACATGACCGCGGGTGGCGCGCGACGCAATATTATTACATGACGTTTTATAATATTACGACCGCGCCGGATTGCCGCGGGACAATGAGCGAAACCGACAAGCTGAACGTGGACAACATCATAACGAGACTGTTGAAAGCGCGGCCCGGCGGCGGGCCCGTGCAGCTCTCCGAAACCGAGATCAAGGGGCTGTGCCTGATGTCCCGGAACCTGTTCATGTCGCAGCCCATGCTGCTGGAGCTCCAGGCCCCGTTGAAAATATGCGGCGACATCCACGGCCAGTACTACGACCTGCTGCGCCTGTTCGAGTACGGCGGCTATCCGCCCGAGTCCAACTACCTGTTCCTGGGCGATTACGTGGACCGCGGCAAACAGTCCCTGGAAACGATATGCCTGCTGTTGGCGTACAAAATCAAATTCCCCGAGAATTTCTTCCTGTTGCGCGGCAATCACGAGTGCGCGCGCATCAACCGGATATACGGGTTTTACGACGAGTGCAAGCGCCGGCACAGCATCCGGCTGTGGAAAATATTCACCGGCTGTTTCAACTGTTTGCCCGTGGCCGCGATCATCGACGGGAAGATTTTCTGTTGCCACGGCGGTCTCAGCCCCGACCTGCAGCTGATGGACCAGATCAGGCGGATCGTGCGGCCCACCGACCTGCCCGACCAGGGGCTGCTGTGCGATCTGCTGTGGTCCGACCCCGACAAAGACACGGAGGTGTGGGGCGAGAGCAACCGGGGCGTGTCGTTTACGTTCGGGGCCACGGTCGTCAACAAATTCTTGCGCAAACACAAATTCGATCTGATCTGCAGGGCGCACCAGGTCGTGCAGGACGGTTACGAGTTTTTCGCCAAGCGCAAACTGGTCACGTTGTTTTCGGCGCCCAACTACTGCGGCGAATTTGACAACGCCGGCGCGTTGATGTCCGTCGACGAAAATCTGGTGTGTTCGTTCCGGATTCTGGAGCCGTCCGCAAAACGGACGGACGGTCGTCGCGGACACGGACACGATTTGATATCCGGCCGACCGCCGACGCCGAGCCGTCCCGACGGTCACCCGAGCCAGAGATCGAAAAATCTAAAATCGTTCTACAATAATTAATATCACTAGGACGTAGTGTTGTTGTGTATGCGACGGCAATAAAGTATCATATAATTTTCAAAAGTAATAATAATAAATGTTTGATATAAAAAAAAAAAAAAAAAACGGTAAAATGCGGCGAGTGAGAAACCCTGCGGCCATGGCCGTGTATGTTCGACGCGAATATGTAGAAATTCGGCGAAGATGATAAGAATATAATCGTATTTATAATAATGATAGGCGTCGGCGACTGTACGGCTTCATCAAGGGTCGGAAATACAATGACTAGGCAGAATCCAAAGAAGAAGATAACACGACCACCCGAGGGCCGTTATCGAAGACTCGAGGAACACTGTGACGCCCCAGGAAGAAATGGAATTTCTGCGGCGTGCGACTGAGAAAAGTGACAGGATATTGTACGCATAGTGTCGGCTAAAAATCTTTGAGAGTAATTTATGACCGTAATAAAAATAAGAAAAAGAAGAAGTAGAGGAGAATATACCGCAGTAATAATATAATATGGAAAACGAATGGGATTTATTATTTTTTTTTTTTTTTCCACTCGATTAAACCGCATTCAAATGATATTATATTATGTACCCGACCGTATTATATACTATATAAATGAATAAAATTTATATTGACATCGTTTTATTATTACATCTAACTTCTCGCGTAGGTATATCAATAAAAGAATGTGTCCGTTTGTTATTGTATACAGATATATATTAGGTCTATGGCGATTCCCATAATACAATGCGCGTACAATGACCACTAGCGTCTCTTTGGCCGGACGGATTTCCGACATCCAATATCCCAACCCCGGGGTGTCACACCCAGGGTGTCCGGTGTTCGTATAAAGAACGAGAATGAAATGGCATTTTTTTTTTTATTTTTTCCGGTCGATTTACGAATTACCTTGGTGACGCGGTACAAAGAAATCGGTTATATTATTATTTAGTTAATTTTAGTTTTACAAATAAATACATATAACAATGCGGTCAACTGCGGGGTGGAGTAGAAACGGGCCGAATACTCGATAAATTGGATTTCTTCTATTGGTCCGGTTTTTCAAAAGACTTCTGCTTTTTTTTTTTTTTTTTACCTGCTTTTAAATTTACAAAATAAAAGGGAGAATCGAATGGGCACCGGCATCGCCAGACAGGATATAATATGCAGTCGGAGTTATAGCCTATTGTATTATACATAAAAGTCACAAAACTGATACATTGCCGTCGTCATTGGTTTGATGTCTTTATATAAGGTATTTTATAGCTTTTTATCCATTTACAGGTATAGTGATTGATCCCTTGGAAATAATATGCCGCTTGCAGCAAAATATATTACAAAATACAAAACCGGATCGGAATACCTAAGCGGATACAATAACTGTGTGCGGTCGTGTTTCTTCTTTATAGATACTCAATGCGTCCGAGACGCTATTATATATTTACAGTTACATAGAGGTGCATTTTTTTTTTGTCGGCACTGCTCGCTTTTTCGGTTATTCAAAACGTTCCAAGGGTATACTTTTTCAGAGACGCGGATAAAGACTTCACGCGGGGCGGTATACCATTTATTTGAAAACGCGTTAAGAGAATAAAATACAATACGACCGGACACTGTGGCCCGTTTATCCCCGTCCACTCGGCCGCGCCACCGATCCATCTGAACTTTTCGCGCTATATTTGTAATGCGCAAAGTATGTCCGTAGCTAAAAGACAATCGTATGTACACACTACAGAATGCACAGACAACCGTTTTTATTACAATTACACTGCACCGGAGTAATTTCGTATAGTGAATCTGTGTTTTTATTTATTTATTTTTTTACGACGTAATATTGTATTGGGTATTATTGATTTTCGTACGCCTACGTTGTCGCAGTGCACTGTGAAAATCTATTATACACACAACGTAATATTAAAATGTTAAACGAGTGTATTTTGTTTAAAAAAAACAACCGGATCGACATCGCGCACACGTGGACACGCGACATCTGAAACGATGTTTACGACCTAAACGCGGGGCGGGGGCGGAAGGGAGGGGGGAGGGTTGTATATAGTTAATAGACGAGCGCTTTAATGGTTTGTAGTGTTCGGTATATTAGCGTGATGCACCATATATTTTTACACGCATCGAGACCTCTGCCGCAGCAGGTACGTGAGAGTTCATATTTATATATGTGTACGGTTTTACAATATTATATAGGTCCCGGGGTTCTTTTTTATGATGTTGGGCGCCGAAACTCTTAAAAAAAAACAAAAAAAAAAAAAAAAAAAAAAAAAACAGGGGAGAAAAAGACGTGTATTCAATAGAACGCGCGCGTTTCGTAAAGATACGGCCGACGAGCAGAGCGTCGGTATACTTACACATACGTACAGATAATCCGTATTCTGAGTGGAGAAAAAATAAACCGTATATATATGGGTACCCGGAACGTGACTAATTCGAAGAGACCGAAACGTTGTTGTTTTTTAATTTTGTTTCCCCCCCCCTCCGCCCCTATGTATAGGTTGGCGTAAATCTATTTTCTTTCCCGTCGCTGTATATTACCGGGCTACAATGCCGAGCGATCGATTTTATTTCGAAAATACTCGCCGTACACCCGTCGTATACGTAAGTACCTACGACTGTGATAATATATTTTTTATAAATGCACGCGAGCGGCATAGTATTATCATTATTATTATTATATTATTAATGATGTTTTGATCGACGGTTTTCTTTTTTTTTTTTTTAACTTTCGATTTTCTTTTTCGTTCTCTTCTCCGCGCGTTCGACGCGACGCGCTTACGCCTCCTCCTAAACGCGCACATACGTATCGTCGACTTCCGCCCCGCCTCGCAGTCTACCGTGTAGCGTATACATATTTATATGTATGTATGTATGTGTATATGTACGCGTATAAGTGTAACTTGTTGTAGGAAAAAAAAAATAAAAAAAAAAAAAAAATGAAATAATAATATAAAAAAAATAATATAGTTTCGGCCGTACGGACATTATACAATTATATAGGTGTAGAACGTCGACGCTGCGCTATACCACTACCTATATATAATGTATATATATTATTATTATTATTATTATTATATATACGTTTCGAGAAAATCGGTTGCTCCTCGTCGAGACGAGGCGAGAGGGGGCTCATTGAACTCTTTCAAAGTCAAACTGACTGATCGTCGGCGGGGGACCGTGTGCACACACGACGTGGTGGAAAAAAAAAATAAAAATAAAAAATACGAATCACGACCTCCGATGTGTGTGTGTGTGTGTGTGTGCGCGCGCGCGTACGTGAGTGTGTGTGTGTGTGTGATTTGTGATGTGTGATGTGTGTGTGATGTGCGCTATATATAATGTACAGTAGACTCGAACGTTCAACAACGGAAACACAAAAATACTGTATGTATGTATAGAATATATATGGAACGATAATATAATATAAATGTGACTTTTGACGAGATCGTGTTGTGTGACGGGGAGGAGGAGGGAGGCAGAAGCGCGATAATGTACAGGGTGATTCGTTTGCAGTCGCGCACGGTAGTGTGTACATAACATAGTAAACCGGCGATTATCGAGCGAATCGTTGTAATAATATTATCGTCGACCTGCAGCTGCACTGCACGATAGAGTACGCGCATGAAAATCAGTGTCCGGAACGGGATTTCGCGGCCGTACCGGAAACGGCAATAAAAATCGCGGCCGATAACCACTCGAATGCGTAAAACGCGTCTATAGATTTATAGTCGTAAAGTTATTGTTTTGAACCCGTAGTGTGTGTGTACCATAATTTGTCGGTATTTTTTTTTTTTTTTTGTGTGTTATCGAGCCCAAATTCCTCTGCGTCGAAAAATCAAAAAAAAATAAAATAAACGCGCGGGCACACGCCGTAACGGACCGACGCAGTGTTGTAACCGGTGCGAAGCTGTCGCAGGGTAAACGGCATACTGTGCAAGTTTACCGCAGGACGTCTATACGTATAATATACGCGGAGGTCGCGATTTAGTTCGCGTCGTGATGCCGATACCGACGGCGGTGCGATAACGCGATCGAAAAACCGATTCTGAGCGGTAACGCGGGGGAAAATGTAAAATTAGTATGCCGTCCTATACGGGCGAAATCCGACCGGGTAGCTGTATAATAATTAATAGGGCGCAATGTCCGTACTCGAACCGTTTAAATCTCTGGCCGCGCCGCTGCACTATGCTAACATCAGCTATAATATTGTAATGTCGGTATTGAGAAGAATCTTCGGACCGTGCGTGTAAAGACGAAATCGCGGGGAAACGTAGAATTCGGAAAAACGAAAAGCTCAAACAGCTGTGCCGAATGCCCCCGATATAGTTGGGCAAACAGAAAAAAAAAAAAAAAAAAAAAAATTGAAGATTCCGACGAACAGGAAACGCTATCGAAAAACAGAGGAACCGTTCGATTCGGACGGTTTAGCGCGGGACACGCCGCGGAGAGCGACGTCCTCTGTATCTGAGGCGTGGGCAGCGCCGAGTCGAAATGCATACACACGTGTATACGTAAACGGCGGATGCGGATCGTGCCGATCACGCGAAGCTTTGGCGACGGTTAGAGAAAAACGGCCGCGCGATCTCGTACTGTGCGATCCCGAGCCGACCGTAACGGGAGAAGAGGGAGGTCGGTATCGGTGCCGTGAAATCGCACCACGAGACCCGGCCGTCGGGGGAACCGTGACAACGAACGCGCGTCCGGAGTGTACGGGAAATTTCGCGTGTTCCGCGTCCGTAATCGTTTACTATCAGTCGCGACACGCGCGGCGGCGCCGACCTGCTGCGGGCGGGCGGGTCGGGCGACCGCGCGACTCGGTTCGCTGGTGACGGGCGAGCGGGCAGAGTAGCGCTGGTGGCGAGAAATGTGCGCGGCACGAGCAGTGCTCGCAGAAAACATAACTACGGAAACGATTACTGTGCGAGTCGTGCAATATAATCGCGTACGCTAAAAAATCAACGGTACGTAATCGCGGTATCGAAATTGTCCGCCCGAGTATTTAC